CACAGATTACACTTTTTTTGGGCCGGAGAGTATGGCTTGCACTTGGCTATGATTTTCCATTTTAACGAATACAGGATAGAGTTATCTTTAAGAGTCCATATATATTGGCTAAGAGTTGTAGCATTTTTGGGGGTCTTGTTCCTGAAGTTACTGTTATGTCCGTTGTATCTGGTTTTGAACGTGTGTTCTGTTAGTCCAATATATGTTTCTTGGGTTTGGTTGTCATATCTGGTAACTGTCGCTTGGTATATAATTCCTTTGGTTAAGCAGTTTCCTTCTAATGGGCATGTTACATTTCTTCTGCAATTACAATTACCGGTAGTTTGTGCGGTCAGATCAGTTTCTGGTATAAATATATATATATGTATATATATATATATATATATATATATATATATATTTATTTATACTTCAGTATACATCATTGTACTTATTTGCTGACGCTTTTGCAAACAAAATCTGCCAGTTTATGGGTCGTTAGTCTGCAAGTTATTCAGGCAGTCAGACAGTCAGTCAGTCAGTCAATCAATCAGACAGTCAGCCAAACATAGCCAGTCCAATGCTAATCAGATGAACGAATCTAGATTTTTTTATGTTGTTTTTCTTATTTTGACTTGACAATGCATTGGCAAAGAGCGTATAGAGACAAGTGCTGTACTGTATTATGCGTTATAGAAATTGAAAACCATTAGCTATATGTTGCTGGTGTTTCTAAGATAAAGAGTTACTATTGGAAAACTGTATAAAGGAGTATATGCCAATCATAGTTTATTAAATTATTTACTTTTGCAAAAACTATTAGGAGGTGACATATCACCAAAGATATATCTGAAAAAAACTTTTCAAATTATCAAACTTAAATATACTTATTTAAAATACGATATATACCCTTATAATATAACTAAATATATAAAATGTGATACTTTAACGGTGCTTTGATAAATAACAATTTACTATCAAGATATAAAAGAGAAACATTTTAAATATACAACATTCAAAATACATTTAAAACACCGGTAAAATGATAAAATCAAATTATGTACACTACAGTTGCTTTTCACCGATCTACTCTATTTAAGACTGTTTCAAATCTATTTTATCATCTATAGACATTATAAGAATTAGTACGTTATCATTATCAGAACAGGAAAGCAATCATAATTCAATATAAAATAAGTACCGTATTGTCGTGACACAAAAAAAATATTCAAAATCAATACTTTTCGAAACCACAAGGATAATATCGTTCTACTGCTGCTGCTAGTTACGTGTTGTTATTTTAAATTGCTAGAAAGAACCACGGTTTTTGTTTATGTGCATCTAACTCTAAGCATTTTATATTATGAGCTATTCGATAATATGAATTATACCGACAACATTGCATCCAGGCATTTGTTTGGTTAAAAGCCGGGTAATAGTTCCAACCATGCTCTCTAATGCCTACAATCTACGTAATGGTATATTTAAAACAAATATTTACTTTGTTTTAATCGGGTCATAGTTCAAAATATTGCCCTTGATGATCTGGAGGTTGTACTATGTCCCGAGACTTCGTCACGGGACACAATACAGACTTCAGATCATATTTGAACTATGCCCCTCAACCCAATCAATATTTGTATAATGTTGTATAAAAACAATATCAATCGAAAATATAGCACCAATAATTGATATCTAATGTATCAAGTTTTTTTGCACATGTTCAATTTCGTTGATCCTAACTTTGCAGGGGTTAGTCAATGGGTAAGGGGGACATTCAAAATAGGGTCACTGATAATAATAATAATAATAATAATAATAATAATGATAATAATAATAATAATAATAATAATAATAATAATAATAATAATAATAATAATAATAATACTGTAATAATAATTTGAGAGTTTAAACTTTAGTTTTTATTTCAGCAAATCAATTATACCTGCCTGAAAATTATGCAACAATTTGCAATAAATAATGGAACCAGAGCGAAAAGTATATTGTGTAATTACCACCATTAAGGCCTTGATATCGTTATGTTCTCACCCATTCGTAACATTTAAAGTTAATAATATTTTATTACATGTTATTATAAAACATAAAAGACCAGATAGTTATATAAAGCTCCTAATATTTTTAAGTTTTACCACAATACACTGCGTAATAGTGATATCCCTATTAAGCGTCACAATCGCCATCATTCATCTTCAATCAAATGCATTTCGTTAATCTGACCAAATTCGTAAGGAAGCTGTGTCTTAGCCTCGTAAACACGCCGCAGTACTGATCGAGACCAGGTAAACATTCTGTTGTTGAACCATGATTTTTTATCAGCTCTTGCAAATTTCTCGCACAGTTCCAGAATACAGAGCAACGATGCTCGAATGTGATTTAGGTTTTCCTCCATTATGTGCGGGTTCAAATTCTCGTGCGGAAAAAGTTCACAAACTTCAATGATGTTCTTCACATTCTGATTATAAACAGAAATAATAGTATGTATTATTAATTTAGATTTAAAATTTATAATATAATATATTCAAGGATCACAACAGATTTTAACAGATTATTGAGACAGATTGATTTTATAATTTTGTAAATATTCATTATGAATCTGATTGGTCGGTTTTTCAATATTTTCTGTTATACTTCTGTAATTATTGTAAATTTATATGGATTAGTGAGATTTTTTCATCAGTATTATTGATAATGATCAAATAGATCGAAACTCTGAATCTCAAAATGTCTCTTTTTTTATGAGTTTACTGTCTTTTTGTTTTATTACCACTAGCCACCCTAATTTTTATGCATATGATGATGAAATTGTATTTCGCCCAATAATGCATGGTAGTTAACGTTAAAACTATTAAGTCTCTATATTTTGAATTTTTTTTTGCTATTGTATGCATGTTCTGATAAATCCAACGTAACTAGTCACAAGACTTTAACAGAAATTGTATGTTATAAGTAGTATATCATTTTTGAAATAAAGTTTCAATATACATAGCAAGCAAATGATTAGTATTAAATTGTGATGTTTGAGTTTATTAGCTTAGCAGACATCATATTTTTAAAATCATCTATAGGCCTTTCACCACCCCAATACCCCCACTTTCTAACTTGTGGTTGAATCCGGGTTTATTCACTGGAAACGCTAACGATAACCTACGAAAGACCGCAGAAGACTTATTTGCAGAGGAGTAATTGGGTAGTAGACCGGGAGACAATCCCCTATAATATTTTCGGAAGAGTGTACTGCGTTTTTTAATGCGCTCATGGAGCATGTTGCACAAGGGACAGCCCTCCAGCTGAAACACAAGAAGAGCAGCGATGGGAATTGAACCAGGGACCAAGAGATCTCCACGGTTCAGCGCACACACAGTTGATACTACCAGTTTAGTCGACTGAGCTAAGCTGCTATATTCTATACAGTACTCGATTATAGTTTTATTTTATATTATAAACATGACGTACATCACTAATACTGTAGTAAATATTTTGTAGTTCCATCTGGAAGAACTTCTGTTTTGCTGTTACAACATCGTTTCTTGCAGCAGCCAACTCGTCACTAATCTTCACAACCAGCGTGATAACTCTTATCACTTGGCCTAAATTATAAATGCGAGCGAGTGCTGCAAGGGTAACTTTACCACTTTCTTCCTCCTGATCATCAACTTGGCATGATAATACTTTGTTTGAAAGCCGGAGAATGCTTAGCGAATTTTGAAGATCTGATAAATTTCTTGCTAAAGCTGGTGGCTGGACGTTTTCCAGTTCTATTGGAAAAAAAATAACAAATTTATAATCAGTTTTCATTTTCAATCAAAATATTTATTATACCTATATTTAATATACATTTATTATTATATATTAGTCAGGGACAAGTGTACATCTCTGCCGCTTGGCTAATGCTTTAGAGTTGAAAACAGTTTCGTTCTCTTAATTGGCTACCCTTCCAAACACTTTCAACGCATACAAAACTCAGTATTTTGCAATATCGACATAAACTAGGATAAACACATCAAACGTAAGCAATCTCGAAAGTTTGAAATTTTACATCGAAAATATATATAGTTAAAATACATATTTAATAAACTAATATACAAACCTTTCGATCCACTAACGTCCATTTTAAACAATGACAAATTTAACAATGAGCTGTTACATAAACAGTTTTACAGCTAAAACTTCACTAGCGTGACATCATCGATAATAAAACTATGTTTATATGTGATATAGGCTATTTCACAACCACTCAAGATATTTTTAAGAAGAATTTGTTTTGATGTCACGTGATTATATTGGGCAATAATTTTAGGCATGTTTCCGGAAATAATCAAAGTTGTTGAAGCCTTATTTATTCATCAGCCCATCATGGTGGTACGGGTACTGGTATGAGCATTTATAATGCTCATAAGTTCTCTTCCTTAAAAGAGAACTAGCAAAATGATTTTTTTGTTCTAGAGGACATTTTTGATATGCCATTAATAATAGAATCAACATTAAAATCGTTTTTTGGCAATTGTTTATGAAGTTATAGGCCACTATATACGATTTTACCGTGACGTCACTGGCGAAAAAGTAATAAAAAAAAATCGTGTAAATAGCGCCGCGTAGGGTAGTTGCTGCGTACGATCTTTACGTGCATGCTGAAACCATGGTTGTTGTAACTTGCATATAGGCCTATAACTGCATCAGCGGTTGTCAACAGAAGAGTTACACCTATGGTTACAGCATGCACCACAAAGATCGTACGCGGCGGATACCCTACGCGGTTTTATTTACACGATCTTTTGTTACTTTTTTCGCCAGTGACGTCACGATTAAATCGTATATAATGACCTATAACTCCATAAGAAATTGCCAAAAAACGATTTTAAGGTTGATTATATTATAAATGGCATATCAAAATTCCCCTCTAGAACAAAAAATCATTTTGCTAGTTCTCTTTTAATCGACCACAGGTATGCGAGTACCCTTGCATCGTTAATTCGTTCATGGAGGAATGGAGGAAATATATTTCCCCCATAAATCATTGAAATAACAGTTAAAAGTAAAGAATAAAATATAAAGTACATACGTTTTGTAAATGGTATTAAATGAGTGACGTCGGAAAATGAGTCAGCTGTATTTACAATGATGTTACCGGACCGACTGTCACTGGCTTGGTCCCATCCCCAAGTGTTATTTGATGAGGGTGACTATGAGGGCGCAATTTAGTACTAAATATACCCTCACACGTGCATTGCTGATTCCTGGCCTTGTTCTGATTACATACATACACATGGCCTTTCTATACAATAATTAAAACCATTAGAATACAACATATGACAATTATTACATTGAAACGTTTAAATTATTATAGACTTTAACATGCGCAAGTTAATTTCAGTACTGCAGTCGGTATGGTCTGTCTCTTATACACATCTGTATAGAGCTCTCTTTAAATAAAGTCCCGGATCCATTTCGTTTGTTTGATATTTGTTATTTTTCACAGTTCGTCAAAATATGCCAAAGAATGTTCTCTGTGTAGCAATATATGTTGTAAAGATTTTGTCAATAGTTTTGTCATTGCTTTTCTTGCTGTTATCATAATCTTTGTGATTAAAAATGCTTTTGTAAACTATAAAATGAGTCAGCAATTAAAATTTTGCATTTTCGATGTAAAAACACCCAACATTTTGTAAAAAAAAAAAAAAAAAATGATGCTTGCCCAAAAAAAATTGAGAGAGGGGACGGGAACAAGGATTTTTTTTTTTTGTTATTTAGCCTTAGCATTCATAATTTTTATTTATCTTTTTATAAATAACATTTCATTTCTTTGTTTTATATAAAATATAAATTCAATACAATCATTTAGACCAGGAAGGTAATACTTTTAGGCATTAAAATACCATGTTATTCAAATGGCAACTAATATTAATTAAAGGAAAACATATTGGTATATAACTTCAGCGGAATCAGAAATACAATTAATTATTGATATACTCGGCACTACATTTTAAACTGAGCTTTATTTTTGCTTGATGGTTAGACTAAAATAATTGAGATTATTGGTTTCCAAGTCATGGTGACCCTATATTTTTAGCTCTAATTTGCATATTTAGCTTAATTTGCATATGAATTAGGCCTAAGCATGCGACTAACACGTGATTTTCGGAAATTGAACTACTTATAGGTGTTCATGTAGGGCCTAGAGAAAAAATCTGAACACATGCCCACCACATTATATTCTAACCTCAATTTGACCTCAAATGGTCTTAAGTGACCTCTAAAAAGAGTTACCATGACATTCAAAAGTGTCATCAGTCAGTTTCATGAACCTGATATAGCTTCATTTGTTACTTGCATCGTGCAGCACTAATACAACCGTTTATCCATGAGCATTGGTGCAACGGATCGATACGATTCGGGCTTCCTGCCCCGTGGACGTGGCCGGTTCGAAACCATTGTTTGCATTTTGTTTGCAACAAAAACTTTTAGCCATATTTACGTTTGTTTCTGATCAATCAAGGGTAAAAATTGGTTATAACGTCTTCTTGGTTCTCGTGGACATTTCCGGGGCGTCAATCAAAATTAACAACTGACCAATCAGATCAGGGATAGGACATTTCTATGCAAAAACTACCTTTTGTTTGCCCTCCTGACATAACCGTCAGAAGCCACAGAATGAGGCTCACCTAGATAATACTGAACTGAACCACGGAAAATTAGTCTTATATTGGAGGGTGTCTTCTTATATATACTGCCAACCATTAGAATATAAAAAGCTTAAGGCTTATTCAAAATGAGACACAAGTTATCATCTTCCCAAGGAGACACTGGTCAGTTTATTTACATCGGCGTTTTGACCATAGATCCTGAATTCAATTCCTAAAAGATTTTTATATCCCCACAGACCCCAATTATTCTGGTTACCATGGTTAAGATGGGGCTTCTGTTGGTGTAAGAAGCTTTTGATCGGTCGGGCTGGGGTAACACTAGGGTAACACAATGCCTTTGGCTTATTATGAGTGTGCGCTCTGCTTCGACGTTTATTTATTTATTTTTTTTTGTAGAAATTCAGACGCGTAATTGCACACATCATTTTATATGGAATGGTTGTGCAACTTTCATCTTCGTATAATTGATATACAAATATATACATAATATGTATATTTGATTGTTAATTGAGTTGGATGTTGGCTTTGCCGCATATCAACAAAGGCATTGTTGTTATTAAGCTTTTAACTAAAAATACCTGGTAGCAAATTCAAGGGTTTCCCATAAAGGTATAAATAAATTATAATCCAAGCATACTATCTAAATTTTATGCAGTAATTCGATTATGCTTGTCTAAAAACATGAATTGAAAACTAGAATTTACGTGGTAATGAGGTAGTACAATAATAATAATAATAATAATAATAATAATAATAATAATAATAATAATAATAATAATAATAATAATAATTATAATAATAATAATAATAATAATAATAATAATAATAATAATAATAATAATATCTATCTATAAGGCGCAAAACAAAATAATGGCACAGGCGCATACAATATTCTATACAATAATTAAAACCATTAGAATACAACATATTACAATTATTACATTGAAACGTTTAAATTATTATAGACTTTAACATGCGCAAGTTAATTTCAGTACTGCAGTCGGTATGGTTATATAACTTGTATGTATTATTTATTATGGTTAAATACAAAATCTCACATTGATTTAATGTAAATATAATTACCTAAACTATAATTACGATTTAGTAAGGTATGCTGTAAGTCTATATGAATCTTCAACTACATTATGTATATCAACATTTTCTTATGTAATAAAATACCGCCCAAAAAAATCATGAAAATCATTTTTGAAACTAACTTGCCCATTTTTGTAGCTACATAAAATTACTAACTTAAACATATTTTAAAGTACCGTAAATGCTCAAATAAGCGCTGCGGCGCTTATAAAATTTTGTAAGCTTGAGTGCAGCGCTTATAAAAAATGCCCGTTCCCATATTACATAGCTCACGTATTCCCGTAGTTCAGTAGGCCTACCATAGGTCCTACGTCATCGTAAATAAACGTTTATAGAGAAATTCTTGTGTCTTCATTGCGTTATTCATTCATTTTAACACTGTATACATTGTATTTAAAACCCTGTTTCTCAAAGTGTTTCATTACACACACGGTAATAAACTCTCGATTAAGCGCCGCGGCGCTTATTCGAGAGCGGCGTTTAACTACGGTATCAGGCTTGGTGCGGCGCTTATTTAAGAGCGGCGCTTATTCGAGCATTTACAACGGTATTTACCTATAATTTTACAACGAACAATGGTAGAAACACTTCCAGTCACTGGAAGTGTTCTGTTATATTTATTATCATTATACAATCTAAAAATCAGGTACACATTTCTAAAATTCAATTTCTATGCTTAAATTAATCATTTGTATTTTACTGCAAAATGAGCTAATTAATTTCAAAAATATTTTTATGAATTTTTGTCATTTCAGGGGACAATACATCCACGGTACAACAGCAGGGTTCGGGGGTGGGGAGCAAAGCATGCAGGTCGTCAGAGTAATTTAAAGAATTTTAGAAGTTCTAGTGTTTGCGTATCAACGAATACAATACTATACAATTATTTATTATTAAAAAAAAATTGTTTTTAAAAGAAAGTACAGAGGCAATCGAAAAAACAAAATACAGTAAATTGGACAAAAAAACAAGGAAAAAAACAAAACAAAAAAAAAAAAACATAGAGAGACGGAAGTCGACGGCATGGTTCTCAGAGTTCTTTTTGTTTGGTTAATTCACTGGTTTCGTCAATAGCTCTGTACGCACAATCTCAGTACTACAGTCGGTATGGTAATATTATATACTGTAACTTAGGCATGTTGTGTTATGTCTAAGTTTGTAAGCGTTTCAGACCTATACCTTACTTGTTGTACCTTGTACCATACAAGCGCATAACAGAAAATAATTGTATCCGCAATTCGGTCGTATCCGCCATTACTAATTGTTACCCAATAAATTTATTGATTGATGCTGATTGGTTAATCTATATCTCGATTGATTGATGGATAGTTTGATTGATAAACTGCTCAACTTATAATAATAGGTCATTTTTAAATAACAAAAGTAATAGTAGAGAAGACAGTATAGAACGTGATTTTGATGTGTGTCTGTCTTCCATAATAAAAGTGTGCAGCTTTATTTATTTAACTTTCAAAAAATAATATTTCACGTTGTTTCCTTAAAATAGGGGTCTACATTAAATATTAACATGAGACGAGAAACAGGGTACCATGATGCGTCTTGGAAATACTTCACCTCATCACAGCTGGTAATAATATCATACTAATCTAGTTGAGCGTGTTTGTGTTCTGGTATATTAAAGGGTACAGTAAAGAGCAGAAGAATAAAATAACTCATGCGGAACTCCTCATGGGCTTGTTTGTAGCATGCCATACAGAAGCTATAGTAGCTTCATGTTCACATTATTTCCCAAAGACAAGAGCTGACATAACGCATGGTGTAGGGGTAACCCCCACTGTACTTTTCCAAAATATAGTGCCTCCTGTCCTTATTTCGGAAGAATCCGAATCCTGGGCAAAGAGTGTCTCAAACCAGTGTCTATGTAAACGATTTGATGAATTGTATGTTGGTAATATGCGGTGCCCTTGGACTGGACCCTAGCTACAGGCTTGCCACAAACACCCCGTTTACTATACGAATTTCAGTTGTCCTAGTCACCTACTAATTTTAGAGCCGAACAAACGCGATGTTGTACGCCTATATAAGGCGCTACGCTATTTTGGTCATTTGGTCATTATTGAGAATCATATGGAACGACTCTGGCAAGAATGTGCCACGAAGACGCAATAAAATAACTAATTTGGAACGTGGATCTCATTGCATGGTTATGTAGAGAATTCGGGGAATACACAACAACAATCTGTATTTATTTATTTTTTTTTTGACAAGCGACTCAGAGCTGCAATTTGTAGTGTGGGGAAATTATTTAATACTTTTAAGCTTAAAAGCTTTACTATTATAAGTTTACAAAGCCAAACATTGTAATTATTACTATCAGGCCAAAATATGAAATAATAAAACGTATTATAATAATAATACGTCTCGGAGTAAAAACCTTCCAGTCTGAAAAACTGTAACAACATAGATAATCAAAGTCTCGATCTCATGAAGTGAATATCACTCCATTATTTCAGATTAATTGATAGAAAATAATGACTTTTACCGTCGTTTTTCACTGGACCAGTAGCTTTTCGGACTAGCCGTGTCTCAATCAGTTGTTTTGCGGTTTCATATGGAACGCCAAAAAAGGCAACCTTCAAACACATTTTGCTAAAAGCCTCAATGCGCTTACATTAGAAATAAACAAATCTAGAATTAAGCAAAATGTAAATTAAAAAGATGTGTTTCTATATGCATTTCTTCGATCTATTTGGTATAAATTTTTCTTATTCGATATTACCTTCCATTATATTTTGTGAACTTAGATTCCAGGTGAAACATCTGTCTAGCCATTGTGTAGTGTTTACTTCGGAGTATGATTTTATGTCTTCCATCAATTCAGTACACACAGTTAACAATAATTTGACAATAATTGTGTGTGCCTTATTGTCTGGAGTCCAATAGCTAAATCTCCATACAATCTGTGGGAGGAAGAACAATTTTTAAACTAATTTAATTGCGTTTCGTTCCGTAGGTCTATTGTGAGTATTGACAATCAGTTGATATGTAAGGCCCGACAATCACTGCGCCCGACGGTCGTCGGTCGATGTGATTCTATACTGAACGCAACGTCACGACGCGCGCGCAACGGATTGTTATTATGACGATCCGTTTAGACTTTTACCGACAACCAGCAGACGGCGGCACATCTTCTAGCGCTCATAGAGAGAGGAGCTAGATTCGTCGGCCTATGGTCGTACGACGCAGTGAGTGCCAGCTTACTCTCACACTATCAACACCTAAACTGCGATCGGTACACGGTCAAGTCGTGATAGTGTGATAGCAGCTAAGAGTAACTTGCTCATGACAAGGCAGAGGTCGTGCATGGTCGCGGAGTTTTCAACATGTTGACAAATTTAGTGTGGTCGGTACTGGTCGCCAGTCTAATCGTAGTCGCTCTCGCACGTGTCGTAGTCATTTGGCTAAGGTGGCCATTATTACTTTCCACCAATAAATGACAAGAGGGCAGGTCCTACTTCCAATGGGATACGACAGAAGGTCGGTACGGTCGCAGTGCTAGGTCGCGATAATGTGAGAGTTGCTTAAGAGGTCAATGTAGTAAACTTAACGTGGTCGTATGACCTGAAAAGAGGATAGATAACTTATCGAAGGCCTACTATGGTTATAACATTTCTCACTCCGTCCCATCCCCAAATTACATTTAGTTTAAATTATGCCCACTATTAATATGAAACTGTTTTTTCAATGTGACACTTTGCTAAACAAAATCAGTTTCATTTTGTAGCCAAAAATCATCATTGTCATCTTCATCGTCGTCACCATCTTCATCTTTGTTATCACTAGGTTACCATCCTCATCATCATCATCATCTGTAATACCGTATTTAAGGTTATTGAAATCAGGAATGTTATTGATATTGTTTTTCATATTATTATTATTATTATTATTATTATTATTATTATTATTATTGTTTACCTTTCAATAACAACTTTAAAAATCATGCATTTTGTCCACATTTTTAAAACACTAAAACGCAAGTTGGTAATGCTTTGAGAATGTTCCCCATCTACCGAACTACGAAGTAACACATTTAATATAATCCGCCCTCCAATTAGAAACCACTTTGTGTACCTAAAATTTGGGGCGGTCTCGGGGTTCTCCAATTAGAAACCTCCAAATAGGGACCACGGGCTAGAAGCGGTCTCTAAACAGCATAATTAGAGGGTAACCCACAACCTGCAACCTCTACAAAAAGCTGAAGTGGCCTCACAAAAGACAACACAGGACAACCATTTATTTATTTTCAAAGAAACTGTTGTTTGCAATTTATTTTTTTTTTCACCTACTTGAAACTGTTTAAAATACATTGGAAAAAACGTAAACAGTATACTGTAAATTAAACATGAAATTTCACATAAAGAAATTTCTGATTCATAGCATGTGCTAAAAGTAAAATTTTTTTTTAAATACTAGATTTGAAAAATGCATAAAAAGATAATACTCTTAAAGAGGGGCTATATAGGGTAAAAAAAGGTCCAATATAAAGCGGTTTATTGTCCTGAGCATCTTGACAATAGTTTTAAAAAAATCGGTTGGAAAATGGTACAGTGCGTGCCCAAAAATTTGATAAGGGGGCAGGGGGAAAAAGGCCTATGGAAAAAAAAAGGTCATATCTTTTTTATTTGAAGTCATATTGCGATAACATGGGTATCTATATATATATATTTTTTGAGGCCAAGTAATTGGTAAGTGGTGACAGGAGCTTTCCCCTCCCCCCATTTTGCCATTAAATTTCAAAAATATCAGTGCATGAATGTAAAGTGCTACTCACTTATTTATTCTGAAACTGTTGTTCTCCCCCGTTTGAAACATTTTTTATTCGATCCTGTCGATTGTGGATACGACGACAGATGTTGTCCACTAGTGTAGGAAATGTGATGGCTAGACGATTTTATGAACGCTAAGGATTTAAAGTTTCGGGAATGTTCGTCGAGCTTCTTATTTTTTTTGTTTTGTTTTATCATGCATAACTGGTTGTTAACACCTTATTTGTTTGTTACTTTGATTTCCTTGTATTTGATTGTTTACTTAATAACCACCCATTATGTATCTCATCTATGTATTCTCATTATAGTAAAGGCCACGACCG